ATAGAAAGAAAGAAAGAAAGAAAGAAAGATGCTAGCATGTTGAAACTAATGGATCCATAAATCTATAGGAATACTCTAAAATGGGATGGAGATGTCAAAAATATAGGTAAGAGATGTTCATTAGATTACTCTTTAAATTTTCCTGTATACTGGGAAATTTTCAAAATTAGAAGAAAAACTTATTAGAAGAAAATCAAAATCATTGATTTTCTGTTATTAGACATAGACTGGAAGATAGGATTAAAAAAATAAAGACCCAACAATACTCTGTCTGCAAGAGACTCACCTCCTAGGAAAAACAACCACAGACTGAAGGATGGGAAAAACCATATCACTCATGTGAATCACGTAAACAAGATGGATTTCCATCTTCAAATCAGATAAGTGGACTTCAAGCCAAAATTAATCAGAAGGGACAAAGAAAGACATTTCATACTGCTGAAGGGAACTATACATCAACAAGGCATAATAATTGTAAATATCTATGGCCCAAACAACGGAGCATCTACATACATCAAACAAATTCTTCACAATTTGAAGAATCAAATAGATCACAGAACAATAATATTGGGTGACTTTAACTTTCCTCTCCCACCACTTAATAGATCTTCCAAACAAAAACTAAGTAAAAGATATAGAACTAAAAATTCAATCAATAATTTAGACTTAACAGACATATATAGAATATTCCGTCCATCAACACGTGAATACACTTTTTTTTCATCAGCACATGCATCCTTCTCTACAACAAACCATATATTATTCCACAAAGCAATTCTTAGTAAATACAAAAGAATAGAGACACTACCCTGCATTTTATCAGATCATAATGGAATGAAATTACAATTCAATGATAAACTAAAAATTAAAGCTACTTCAACACCAGGAGACTAAAAAAATATGCTATTGAATGATGAATGGATAGCAGAAGAAATCGGAGATGAAATTTAAAAAAAATACTTAAAGGTAAATGAGAACACTGATACAACATATCAAAACCTTTGGGACACTATGAAGGTAGTACTGAGAGGAAAGTTCATTGCATTGAGCTCATTCATTAAAAGAACAGAAAATCAATGAATGAATGAGCTAATATTACATCTCAAAGCCCTAGGGAAAAAATAAGAACAAATCAACACCAAAAATATTAGAATAGAGACAATATTTAAAAACAGAGTTGAAATTAATAAAATTAAAACAAAAGAAACAATTCAAAAAATTGGCAAAACAAAAAGTTGGTTCTATGAAAAAATAATAAAATTGATAAACCATCAGCCATGTTAATAAAGAGAAAGAGAGAAAAAACTCAAATTACTAAATTCATAATAAAAAAGGAAATATTACACTGACACTACTGAAATAAAGAAGATAATAAAATTTATTTGGAAAACTTATACTCCAATAAAATAGAAAATCTTGAAGACATCAACAAATTTCTAGAGTCATATGATCTACCCAAACTGAATCAGGAGGATATATACAATTTAAACAGATCAATTCTAGCAATGAAATAGAGGATGCAATCAAAAGCCTACCAACCAAGAAAAGCCCAGGAACAGACTGATTCACAACCACATTCTACAAGATTTTCAAAGAATTAATACCAATACTCCTCAAATTATTCCATGAAATAGTAAAAGAGGGAACCTTTCCAAACTCATTCTATAAGTCTAGTATCACTGTGAGAGCAAAACTGGACAAAGTCACATAAAGAAAAGAAAACTTCAGACCAAAATCCCTGTTGAACTTAAATGCAAAACTTCTCAAAAAAGTTCTGGCAAATCAAATACAAAAACATATTAAAAATATAGTGGACCACAATCAACTGGGGTTCATCCCAGGGATGCAGGGTTGGTTCAACATACAGACATCAATAAATGTAATTCATCACATCAATAGACTGAAAGATAAGAATCACATGATCATCTCAATAGATGCATAAAAAGCATTTGACAAAATACAGCACAACTGCATGCTCAAAACACTAGAAAAACTAGAGATAATAGGAACATAGCTCAATATTGTAAAAGCTATCTAAGCTAAGCCCAAGGCCAACATTATTCTAATTGGAGAAAAATTGAAAGTGTTCCCTCTAAAAACTGGAACAAGACAGGGATGCCCTCTTTCACCACTTCTATTTAACATAATTCCTGAAACACGGACCAGAGCCATTACACAGATGAAAGAAATTAAAGGAGTACAGATAGGTAAAGAAGAACTCAAATTAGCACTATTTGCTGACAATATGATTCTATACTTAGAAAACCCAAAATATTCCACCAGAAAACTTCTAGAACTAGTAAATGAATTCAGCAAAGTATCAGGATATAAAACCAACATTCATAAATCAAATGCATTTCTGTACATCAGTGATGAATCCTCTGAAAAGGAAATAAGGAAAACTACCCCATTTACAAAATAAAAAATAAAATACTTGGGAATCAACTTAATGAAAAAGGTAAAAGACCTCTACAACAAAAACTAAAGAACCCTAATGAAAGAAATTAAAGAAGACCTTAGAAGATGGAAAGATCTATCTTGCTCTTGGATAGGCAGAATTAATATTATCAAATTGACTATACTACCAAAAGCAGTATACAGATTTAATGCAATTCAAATCAAAATCCCAATGGCATTCCTCATATAAATAGAAAAGGCAATCATGAAATTCATCTGGAAAAATAAAGAGACCCAGAATAGCTAAAGCTATCCTTAACAGGAAGAGTGAAGCAGGTAGCATCACTATACCAGACCTTAAACTATACTACAGAGCAATAATAACAAAAACAGCATGATATTGACCAGTGGTACAGAATAGAGGACACAGAGACTAACCCACAAAATAACAATTATCTTATATTAGACAAAGGTGCCAAAAACATGCACTGGAGAAAAGACAGCCTCTTCAACAAATGGTGCTGGGAAAACTGGAAATCCCTATATAACAAAATGAAATTAAACCCCTGTCTCTCACCATGCACAAAACTCAACTCAAAATGGATCAAGGACTTAGGAATAAAACCATAGACCCTGTGTCTAATAGAAGAAAAGGTAGGCCCTAATCTCCATCATATGGAATTAGGCCCCAACTTCCTTAATAAAACTACTATGGTGCAAGAGTTAAAATCAAGAATCAATAAATGGGATGGACTCAAACTAAAAAAAAAAAAAAAACAACTCAAAGCAAAAGAAACAATCTGTGAGGTGAATAGAGAGCCTACATATTGGGAGCAAATCTTTACCCCTCACACATCAGATAGAGCCCTAATTAATCTCTAGGATATATGAAGAATTCAAAAAGCTAAGCACCAAAAGAAAAAAACCCAACCAATAAATGGGTCAAGGACCTGAACAGACATTTCTCAGAAGAAGATATACAATCAATCAACAAATATATGAAAAATGTTCAACATCTCTAGCAATTAGAGAAATGAAAATCAAAACTACTCTAAGATTTCATCTCACCCCAGTCAGAATGGCAGCTATTAAGAATACAAATAGGGCTGGGGTTGTGGCTCAGTGGTAGAATGCTTGCCTAGCATGTGTGATGCCCTGGGTTCAATCCTCAGCACCACATAAAAATAAATAAATAAATAAAAGTATTGTGTACAACTAAAAATAAATAAATATTTTAAAAAAATAATACAAACAACAAAAAGTGTTGGCGAGGATGTGGGGGAAAGGGCACACTCATAAATTGTTGGTGGGACTGCAAATTGGTGCAACCACTATGCAAAATATGGAGAATCCTTGGAAAACTGGGAATGGAACCACCATTTGACCCAGCTATACCACTCCTGGGAATAGAACCAAAAGACTTAAAAATCAGCATACTATAGTGACACAGCTACATCAATGTTCATAGCAGCTCAATTCACAATAGCTAAACTATGAAACCAACCTAGATGCCCTTCAGTAGATGAATAGATAAAGAAAATGTGGGATATATACACAATGGAATATTATTCAGCATTAAAACAGAATAAAATCATGGCATTTTCAGGTAAATGGATAGAGCTGGAGAATATAATGCTAAGTGAAATTAGCCAATCCCAAAAACCAAATGCCAAATGATTTCTCTGATTTAAGGATGCTGATTCATAATATTCTGCAGGGGGTAGAGTGGAAGGATTGAATGAACTCTAGACAGGGCAAAGGGGAAAAGAAGAGGAGGGGAAGAGAGGGGGCATAGGGGTAGGAAAGGTGGTGGGAATGTGATGGTCATCATTACCCTAAGTACATGTGTGAAGACATAAAAGATGTGTACAACCAGAGATAAAAAAAAAAAAAATGTGCTCTATAAGTGTAATATGAATTGTAATGCATTCTATTGTCATATATAAAAAATTAAATTCTTTTTAAAAATTTAAAAATACAGCACACCTTCATGTTCAAAATACTAGAAAAAGTAGAGATAATAGGAACATAGGTCAATATTGTAAAAGCTATCTATGCTAAGCCCAAGGCCAACATCATTCTAAATGGAGAAAAAAATGAAAGCATTCCCTCTAAAAACTAGAACAAAACAGGGATGCTCTCTTTCACCAATTCTATTCAACATCCTTGAAACTCTAGCCAGAGCAATTACAGAGATGAAAGAAATTAAAGGGATACGAATAGGAAAAGAATAACTCAAATTATCACTATTTGCTGATGACATAATTCTATACTTAGATTGAAAATCACCTAATTCAGCATCTTCATTTAAAAAAAAAAATGTGATTTGCACAGGATTGCACAAAACACTGCTGACTTAATATTGAAACCCGAGCCTCCGTTTTCTGTCCAATCCTAACAATCTCCAGTCATGTTGTCTTCCTATTGCCCTGGCAGGATGAAGAAAATGGTAGAAATATATCACACATGCATCAACAAAAACAGAGAAGCTAGCTCATCATAAATATGTTGAGAGTTTAAAAAGCACACATGCAAAGGATACTGCATAGGAACCCTGAAACCCAGAGCCCCTCAACACCTGCATGTTCTCTTTGATCCTCTTCTCATTGAAACTCTTGACCAGGACCACAACCCCACGCTGCAGCTGATAGCGGAGGGCAATCAAGGCTGGAGTTCGCTTGTGCTTTTTTGCCAAGGAACCAAGAACTGGATCATCCAAAAGAACAGGGGTGTTCTGGTCAGTCCTGGAAGAAAAGGCAGAGATACCGGAGTCCTGAGACTGAGTATTTACTTTGTTAGGAGGCTCCAAAATAGACCAAGCTCTGTTTAGACCACTCTAGACCAGGGATCCTCAAATGTAGTCCCTGGACTGGCAGCATCAGTGTCATAGGGGATCCACTCACAAATGCAAGTTCTTCCCGGTCCTTGAGCCCTTCCATGGGTAACCCTACAAAACAAACTGAACATGGCGGCATGCACCTGTGATCCCAGCAACCTGGAAGGCTGAGGCAGGAGCACTGCAAGATTTAAGGTCAGCCTCAGCAATTTAACAAGACCCCATCTCAACAAAATTTTATAAAAGGGCTTGGGATGTAGCTCAGAGGTAGAGAGTCCTTGAGTTCAATCCTCAGTACAGAAAGAAAGGGAGAGGGGTAGAAAGAAAAGGAGAAAAGAAGGAAGAAAACATTATAATAGAAATATAATAATAGAAATATTTCGTCACTGATGATGTTTTAGGTGAGCTTCTTGTCCTTATTACCATCTGTCTCGGGTACTTCCCACAGCACCATAAGCAACCAAAACAATGTCTTTTGACTTGCAGAAGTCCAACAGTTTTCTCTGGTTGAGAAAAGGATGACATTCTACCTGTGGTGGACAAGACAGAGGGTATCAGATTCTACTAAATGCTAATGTTAATATGAAAACAAATTGTCAAAGTAACAGAAACTGATTTTTTTAAAAAACTATAATATAAAATTTGAGGTGAAAAAATTGACATCAAGTAGCAATGCGCTTTTTAAATATTAATTCAGTACTTCTATACTATACCCTGAAATTTTTTTTTCTTTTTGAGGCATTTCTAAGAAGAAACAACTTTGTGGACCAGATCTTGGGTGCTAAATACCCTTTTCAACTGTAAGGAGACATGCATAATTCCAGATCTGGAATAGGAAAGAATTCTTCCAACCTTGAACACCAAATCATGCCAAAAACAAAAATTTGGTCAAAGATTCATGAGGGCAAGTCTGAAAGACAAAGTACCATGGATAGGGATCTCTCTAGTGATAGCTGAATAGATTTCTGCTCCAAAGCAATAATGAACAAAATAGGATCATTTCTAACACATATTGTAAATAAAGGTGTTAATGCCCATAGTAATAGAGAGAACAAAAATACTTGCCCCTACTGATGCTTATTATTACAGTAACTCTACACAATGTAAATAAAGGCAAGCTATTAAGGATTCCACTATTTTAAAGGAAAAAGTTGCAGTTTATCTTTTAAAAAAAACATTTTTTAAAAATCCTAATTTATTTATTTTTTTCACATGTTGATGAACCTTTACTTTATTCATTTATTTATATGTGATGCTGAGAATCGAACCCAGTGCCTCACACATGCTAGGCAAGTGCTCTACCACTGAGCCACAACCCCAGCCCTGCAGTTTATCCTGATTTGATATGTTGAAATTTTGTACAAGAAAGTGTCAGGCACAAATAAGAGTTAAAAATGAAAATAATTGTTCACAAACCCCTATATAACAAATGAATTTAGACAAAAATGATCAATAGATATTCAACTAGTGGGTCATACCTGTCATGGAACACGATTTCCTCTGTTGATAATTTTCACTCAATAGGTCTTTACTAATTCAAGGGGGGGGACACACATTTATCAAAAAGAAAATCTGGCTACCACTAGCTGAGCCAAGAAATCACAATTAGTATCACCCACAGTGGGGTGATCTGTCATTACGTGCTTCCTCCTGGGCTGAACATGATGGTGACTCTTTTTTTTTTTGCCGAAAATGGTTAACACCAGTATAATAAAGCATTTGGACCTAATTTCTAATTTATAAAACTTGAAATAGAGAAACAAACTATCATTACAAGAACATAATCTAACAAATCTGAAATATTTGTCAAATCCTGTCCAGATATCCTGGGGAAAAAGAATTGGTGGTAATTCTAGGTTAAAAGAGCTTGAACAAAAGAAAAGAGCTTGACAAGGATTATGTGTGAACTACAATGATATCCTGGTTTAAAAAGTATACAAGACATTTTGGGGAAGCCATGGGAAATGTGAAGGTGGTCCAGATATTATATGGTATCAGGGAATAATTGATAACTTCCATAGATCTAATAATGCAACGGTGACTCTGGCAGAGAGGATCTTTATTCCTAGCAGATGTCTTCTGAGGTCTGTAGGAGTGAACACTTGTGCATAGGACATATTATCAAGACATTCAGCGAAATATTCTATGCATGTGTACAGCTGTAACCTCATCACCTACCTACACATGACAATGTGGCAAACATCAACAATTTTGGATATAGTTGGACACAGAAGTTCTGTGTCATCCTTTCAAACATTCTAAAGGCTTGAGAGTGGGCATTGTTAAAAAAATAAGGGTGAGGTTAGTATTAAAATCACATTAGCTTTTAGCATTTACATCTGGAGATCACAAGGTTCTATCATTATATAACAAATTCATGAATTTTTTAAGCTATATTTTTCAATCAAAGACCCATACTCCATGACTGGAATTTGTTAAAAACAATAACTTAGAGTACAGGACCAGGAACAGAATAGATGTGCTTAAATAGCTGATTTGATGTCAGAAAGAAAGAAGGAGAAACTAAATGTGGTCAGGCACAGGGTCAGGTCTGTGTTCTGCTCAAAATCCCTCAGGGTTGATTTCATCCACTATTAGTATCCCCACAACCGCTCCTTCTAAGCCAGATGGTGTAAATTGCACATCTGAACCCCCTAGGAAAAAAACTTTTCCATTGCTCTGCATTTATTTCCGTTGTCCTTAGTTACTGCCCCACTCCATGTTTTCATGCCATTTCTTTCTCTACATGGTGCTCCCCACAGGCCTTCTGTCTACACTGTCATTGGTCATCCTTCATAGCTCAGGCTAAGCCCACCACTCCAAGTCTAAATAACTTCTACCTCCCTTCACCTTTACCTCTCTTTACTTCATAAACACAGCTTCTCCCAAGATGTTCCCAGTGTTTCGCTAAGGTATTGTCAAGGAGAGTCATAACTGAGCATCCTGTAAGCCCATACAGACAGAGGCTCTGTCTGCAGAATCTTCTAGTCCACAAAGGTACCACTCACAGGACAGGATGGCCAATGGAAGCCCGTCAGTAGCACAGGAAGAACAAAAGGAGAGAAGCCGGAGGGTGCTCACCTGGTTGCAGACAGGCTTGTATTTGAGCCCTGGTTTGTTCAGGATCATCTCCAGATGCTGGCAGTTAAAATTAGACACCCCAATGGATTTTGTCAACCCTGCATCCTTACACTTCTCCATGGCCTGGGGAGGAAGGTGTTGTGAAGAATAGTTCTTGAAGTTGTCAACAAATATGCCAGAAAGAATTGCTAAGAGGAAAAATGTGAAGAAATACCAACAAAGCCACTAGTATTGATGTCTAGATGAGGAAACGTTGCCAAGAAAATGGGAGAAAAACATAATGACACAAGAGAGAATCCCTGTGTCCTCCTTAGAAAATGGGAGAGATTACTTACTATGGACAGAAAGAGATGCCTATCCCCACTCTCCTCACTCCTTCCCCATTTCTCCCTATTACTCTCCAGTAATGCTTTCCTCCCAACCACTGCATCAAAACAACCCTCATGAAGGCCGTGGATGTGGAAGTCCAGCAGTGTATATCCCATTGTCAGAGGTGCAGGTCAGACCTGACTCTTCCTCTACCAACTTGCCCCTCCGCACTCTCTCTTCCAAGTACTCACCTCCCATGTGTCACAGAGATCCACTGCTTCAGATATTGCTTTTCCTTGTTCATCTTTGGGTGATAATGACATCCCAGACTGGAATAGAAGCCGTCATTTTAGAGATTTCACCAAACTGTGTTGCAACAATTAACTATGCTGCCAGGTACTTTGGTGGGGGGGAGGGTGCATGGGACATTAAATTTTCATAAAGTAGGTGGAGCTATATTCTAGATCCTGGTATTTGTAAAATATTTTGCATTTGAAGTGGTAAGGAATGTCCTTTGGAGACAGGTTTTCCCTTAATCCTTTAGATCTTTCATATGTATAATAAATACTATTTCCTCAGGTCCTGGTGGGGGTTTCATAGAACTTCTGTTAATTTTTTTCAGCCCCTATACTTTCCTTTGGAAAACACTTCTCCCTCATTGGGAAAGGCCATAAATAATTACATAGCCTTGATATCCAGTGATAAATGGCTTTTGTTCATGACCCAGGTGAAAGGATCCGAAATCCTTATGCCCCTGGACATATGATGGTCCACGAGCACGCATATGAACCAAGCAGGGTCAGTATCTTGGTGGGGGTTTTTTTTAGATTAATATGGGTGTCAGAAAGCCAAAGTAACTCTCAAGTGTTACCATCAATGAGTCTTAAACTGCCCCAAGGCATTATTTTTTACCAATGAAAAATGATGAGATGAAAATGAAGCCAACGTGTTGGAATGCAGGGATAAGGGAAGGTGGAAAGGAAACAAGTTACACCCAAACCCCTTACCTGCAAAGGTAGAGGAAAATGAATGAGAAAGAGGTCAACATAGTCCAGCTGAAGTTTTTTCAGTGACTGTTCCAAGGATGGTTGGACTAAATCTGGTTTATGAAAAGTGGACCAAAGCTGCAGAGGTTAAAGAATGAAATTTGGAATTAATACTCTAGCCAGTTTTGTTGACAAAATTTTCTCATCTAGACATCAATACCAGCTGGTTTGTTGGTATTTCTTTACGGTTTTCCTTTTAGCAATTCTTTATGGCATATTTGTTGACAAATGCATGAGTTTTGTTTTTACCTAATGCAGAGACATTTTTCTGCTGGTTGGAAACTGTTGACCATCAGGGAAATATAACTCTCTCCTTTGTTTCTTTTCATCTGTCTTGAACATATAAACCTTACTATTTGGCTATTGTCCATATACCTACTGAACACAGAATGAAGTGATCCAAGAGATAAAGTTCTTTCTCAAATAACAATGCCCATTATCTAAATTATGTTTGATTGAGTTACAAAATAGTGAACAAACTTAGTCTAAATCTCTTAGTTATTCTACCAGATGGGGAAGAATTTGTATCCTTTTTATTTATAGAGTTGAAGAAACTGTTTAGAACAGGTTAACACGTGCAGAACACAGTAGAACACAATATAGATATGTCTTTTTGATACTAAACATCTCTCTTATATTGCTGTCTCTGATTAACAAAGTAAACATTGAGATTCAGAATAACAGATTTTAGAAAGTCACCAAGAAGATAAGAAAAGCCATTATCTGGTCATAATTCTGATTATGTAGTCCATGATGAATCACACTGCTTTGATCTGATATTCGTAAAAGTAAAACAACTTCACATTATAGTCATAAATTTGGGCCCTCCAATGATGTGAAAGACACCATCTTTAACTGTTTTCTTTCCTAGTTTTAATACAAAAACTTGTAAATAAAAGTTGTACTAATAAGCAATAACTTACCAAAAAGCTACTGATCCAATCATATATTGCCATATGCACACAATGGCATTAAATAAGTATGCACATAAATACAGAACATATGTAATACCTTTGAAGTGTAGAATATGTCTTCTCTCTTCACAGTGCCATCTGCAATCTTGCTTCTAATGGCCAATCCTACCTCCTCTTCTACTTGGTATACATAAGCAGAATCAATATGGCGGAACCCAGCTTCTATTGCTAATTTGGTGGCCTTTATTACCTCACTCTTAGGAACCTGGAAGAACAATCCAAAGAAGTATTTGAAGACCCATGCAATGAGAAGAATTTCAAATAGAAACAGTGGACTTCATGTGAATAAATTTCTCCTTATGTTATGGGGTAATTATGTATAAGTGGTAAAAAAAAAATCTCAATTTACCTGGATCTTTCCCAGTAGAAAGAAAGTTTGGGCATCCCAAGAACACTTTCAGTCCTGAGCAATCATTAGTTGATATTCTTTGGCATTTGAGCTTCCAAAGAATATGTCCAGGCTCAGTGATTTGTTTGAAGGATTCACATTCAGCATATTTTTAGTTAATGCTACTATTTATATAGTTAATAAAATAAAATCATTTCAAAATAAAATCATTTCAAAAAACAAAGTCATGGGATGGAATATAGAAGAAATTTGATACAAAATTCAATGACTTCTCCCCCAGTACATTGACACCCAACACAATAAGTTCCTGTGGCATTCAATTTTGAGAAAGAATGGGAAATCATCTTCAAGAAAAGCTGTTCAGAGACTAAATTCCTCATTTTTCTTTAATAGCTGGTTTCACAGACACTTTCTATTAGCACATACAAAGCTTCCAGTTTCCCAAGAAAAACAGAGACATAAACCCTAATATTTGTATATATATAGTTAAGATAGAATCATCTTTATCATCAGTTAGAAAATGGTGAGAAACCCAAGTTACTTGCTAGACTGGTACCAATTTGAAAATAAACAATTCTATTTATAACAGTCCCTTATGTTATCTTTTTTCTAAATAGCCATTCTCACTAAAGAACAGGTCTACATACTAGGAATAAAGATTTGTAAAATACGGATACTGACATCCTCATTTTATTGTGTCCCACTTAAGTGGCATATCCCAGACATTGCATTTTTTTGACAAAATGAAGGTTGTGGCAACCTTGGGTGGAGCAAGTCTATTGGCACCATTTTAAAATGTTGCATTTTGAAAAAATCTCACAATATTTCAAACTCTATTCTACATCTTGAAAATTCTCACAAATATCTCAAACTTTTCATATTCATTATGGGTATAATGGTTAAACTTTGGTCAGTGATATTTGATATTGCTATTGTAATTATTTGGGGTGCCATGAACCAAACCCACATAAGACAATAAACATTGGGAAAATACCTCATGGGTTCTAACTGTTCTACCAACTGTATATTTCCCCCACCTCTCCCCTTTCTCCCTGTCTCTCTACAATGCCCCTTAAATGTTCAACTGAAAGGAAGAGTTGCATGCCTCTCATATAAAATCAAAAGCTAGAAATGTTGAAGCATAGTGAGGAAGATATGTGGAAAACCAAGATCGGTCATAAATTAGGGTTTTTTTGTTCAGTTAGCCAAGTTGTTATGCAATGGAAAAATTTTTGAAAGTCCTGCTCCAGTAACAGAGATGATAAGAAAGCAAAACTGTTTTCTTTATTGCTGGTATGAAAAGCCCAGAATAATCAATAGGCGTTCACAGGATCATACCACAATGCAGAGTATAGTATGATATCCTTCTCTCTGGAATATGGATTAGCTCTAGCCTGGAGAACTGATGACCAGGTGATTTCCCCCTAAATCACACAAACTTGAAAATTCAAGCCAACATTCACTCATCTTAAAACTTTTCTTTTTTTACAGACCCTGAAGCCCAAGACACTACTGTTACCTTATCAGGTACACTGGTGCCAAATCCTATTACAGGAATGAAATAGCCATCATTTAGTGCCACACACTGATGTTTGTGATCCATAGTTGTCACTCCACTGGCTAAGCACACACTATTCTGTCTTCTGCCTTCACAGGTTATATTAACCACAAACAGGCTATGTTGCGTCTTCCTGTTCAAAGTTTATGGGTGAAGTGACATGGAGGAGGAGCAAGTTTAAAGAAGTATTCCACAAAAATAAAACAGCATTAGAGACAGTTTACTTTTTTTATAAAAGTGGGTTCTTAAGTAAATTATCAAATAGTAATAATCATTAATTTCTTGCAAAAGAAATTTTTGTAATCAGAGTCCCCACGTTATTGCAAATTATTATAAGACATTTGGTGATGATTATCGGCCATGCATTAAATAAGCAAAAAATACCAGCTACCAATTTCTTTGATATGATGAAGTCACCTTTTTATCATGTATAATTTCAAACAATTAACTATCTGTTATGGTTTGGATATGAGGTGTCCCCCTAAAAAGCTCATGTGTTAGTGAATGTAGCAATGTTCAGAGGTGAAATTATTAGATTATAAGAACTGTAACTTAAGCAGTGGGTTAATCCATTTGATGGAGTAATAATTTGAATGAATTACTGGGTGGTAACTGTAGGCAGGTGGGGTGTGTCTAGAGGAAGAAGGTTACTAGGGGCATGTATTTGGGGATTATATTTTGTCCCTGGCTTTTTTCTCTCCCCCTTCATCCCTTCCCTCCCTGTCTGTCTCTTTCCTTTCTGGCTACCATACTTTCCTCCACTACATCGTTCCACCATGATGTTCTGCTTTACCTCAGGCCCAAAACAATAGAATCAGTTGACCATGAAATGAACCTTTGAAACTGTGAGCAAAAGTAAACTTTTCCTACTCTAAATGGTTCTTGTCAGGTATTTTTGTCACAGCAACAAAAAGTTGATTAAATAGTAACTTTTTTTAGACCTTTTATTTTATGCACACAGAGAGATGCAAATATGTACACAACTTAGATAAAAGATAAATGGGCATATTTCAAAAAAGTAACCTTTGATTAAAAAAATTGAAAGTTGATATTGAAAGAAAATTTGTCTTTTGCATTTTTCATCAGCAAATTTCTTGTTTCTTTATACTTTATAATATGAATATCTAGTGCTGACACTGGTGCTATCCTTACAATGTTGCAAAAAATTACTTTCTAACATAGTTATTATAGTACTAGTTATTCAGTATTTAGATATAATTTACAACTTTCTGAGTGTTTTATCTGTCATCCAGTTTCGAAAAAGTTTTTATAAAATATGGTTTATGAAAAAGTACACAAAATCCTATAATTACACTATTTAGAGATTTAGGCAAAAGGATCACAAAATGCAAAGGTGGTGACTTCATTAGACCCTGTCAAAAACTGCAAAAAAAGTGGTGGCGACAGGGGTTGGAAGTGTAGCTTGGTGGTAGAGGGTCCCTGGATTCAATCCTCAATACCAAAAGAGAAAATACACAAAAAAATTGTAAAGATATTTTATATAATTTATGATGTTTCTCAACAATATTCACTCAAAAAATTAGAAATGCTCTTAATTACAATGCTTGAAAATAGTTATTTCAACTATAATGCATTAATACAAGAAAATCTTATGGTACAATTGAAAATTTACCATATAAAGTGGTATCAGCAAAATGTTGAACTAAGTAGTTCCAAATTCTCTCAAAGAAACATGAAAACACAAGGTGACATGGGCCAAATGACTTTAGAGGAGATTGGGTAAATATCCAAATGTCTATACTAGACAAAGTGAATACCCAAGCAAGAAACATCAGATTTAAAGTGGCAGGAAATTTCACTGTGTTTTCACCCCTGCCTTGCCTAGCATGGTGCAATTTTGGTCTGTAGGTGGCTTCAACCCTATTACCAACTTCTTCTCTGAAACCAGAGTGAAGAGAGATCTTATTTACAACATTCCAACCTTCTGGGACTCTTGAAAGACTGTGTTATGTTCGAATCCAGGACCCCCAAAAGACCACCAGAGACCCAGATCAATGTAAGCAGCAAAGAGATGTTTATTACAAGCTAGCTCAGTCCTCCAAGCGCACACAGCAACTGGTGACACTGAGAGGCCCCCGAGCCCAGGGTTTGCAGCAGTTTTATACATTCTTTGGGGAAGGCAGGGACCCCACATACACTATAGCATCTCTTAGCAAATCATCACACACTGATGTGGGAAAATCAAACAACAATTCCAAAACATGATTAGCACATTCACTGGCAGGAACAATTTGGGTAGGGGTGATTGGTTAGTACAAGAGGTGCCGCAGTCTGGCTGGGCACAAAATCACGAGCCACCACACAGCTTGTAGATTCAAACAGCAACTCTTTATTCCCGAACTCACACCAGCACTCTACAATCACGTTCTGGGGAAATCCACGACCTCTGCCCAAATTCAACCCCACTGGGCTTCTGTCTCCCAAAAAATACTGTCTGAATCCCGTGAGAACTCAAGGGGAACTCAGGCAGCAGGATACGCCCTATTCCCAGCAGGAATAATCTTAAACCTGGAACCACCCTAAACCGGAACGCCCTAAACCCTGATTATCCTAAACAGAGAACACCCTAAACCCGGATCCGCCCTGGTCCTTGAGCAAGGTCACCTTAGATACAATGTCACTGCAAAATGTCCTATTTCCACGAGTCCTTCCACTAAGCAACATGGGGTACGCTGGCAATGAAATTGTCATACCTACTTGGCTAATGGCTCCCAGCATCTCCCCCCTTCTGATTAATTAAACAACAAGCAATGTGGCTTAAGGACCGTGCCTGGTAGGTTGTCCAATTCAACATATGGTTCTTACCTGTCATGGGAAAAACTGACCTTTAGGCATCAGCCTCCTGTCTTAGGTTGATACCACTGCAATTGGATCATACCCGTCACTGACTACCGGTCCAGCATATAGCCATTGGCCCCCAAATTTTAGACCATCACTAGCAGAAGGGAGGAGGATACAGAAATGCCACGACACCAAGCCAATTGACGGCTCCTTGGAAAAATTGCATCACTGGTGACACCATCAGCAAAGATATGCCAGCATTACCACAATTCGCTGCACCAAACGATAGTTACATAGTCCAGGCAGGTTCTGCAAGCAGTTCAAAGCGGAGGAATCTATCAATATGTCCATTTCCTCCCAAAATCCGTTTCCTCCCAAAGTAAGTTGACTCCTTGATTGAGCATTACTTGTTGAGTTAAATTCATTGATGCATCAGTTTATACAGTTTACTGTGATAGCTATCATAGAAGCTGTAGTTTGGTTTTATCTTTGTCTTCACCGGCACTGGGATGAAGATAGGAATTCTGGCAATGATGCTAAAGAGACATTATCCTGAAAAGAATTATTAAATATAATGAAAAGGAAAGGTGAAAATAAACAAACAGATCTGTTAACCTACTTTAAAAACAATCCTTAACAGTTGTTTACCTAATTTAAATTAGTAAACAAACAGATCTGTTAACCACCTTTAAAAACAATCCTTAACAGCTGTTTACCTAATTTAAATTAAACCATTTAAATCACGTGAATAAAAAAAATAATAATAATTCGGATCCATTTTTTCATGAGCGCTCCTCATATAAGAAATATGGACACACGCACATACAGACATACAACACAAAACACAAGAGTGCACACAAACGTACAACACATAAGAAAATAGTAAAGGCCTTGTAGCTTTACCTAGGTGAAATCTCCATTGCAATGTTTAAAAACTCCACAGTCAAAAAATAAAACTGATCAGAAAAACATTAACCTAGGTTTGTATGAGCTCAAAAAGTAAAATAGAACTTTATGATGTGGGAAAAAGCAGTAATAAAATAGATATTGAAAAAAACATCCTGGTTAATCACTGTCGTAGATGTAAGAATAGCCAAGCTGGAGCTCTGGATATCAGCTGTTATGGATTTGAGTCAAATCATCTTCTTTTTGGACTGTAGAAATTGCTTTGGTTAGTCTCTCTGGAATCCAAATCAGCTGCTGTTCTCCCTGTGGAAACACACAAACAAAACCCCGACTCCAGACAATCACTGGGTCAGGATCTTTCCATTGTCCCGTTAGAATATCTTTCCAAAGTACCTTAGGCTTATGTACATTTTTTGGATACATATGCCTTTCCGCAGCACTAAGTCCTGATGAATCCAAATTTTAAAAGTTTAGAGAAAAAAGGGTTATTTTAAGTTTATCTTTGGGGAATATATACCCCTTAGAGATCCTTTTAAATTTAAGTCTTTCAAAAGCATTCTGCCTTAGTTTTTAGAATTATGTTAGTCCTTTTAATTTTTTGATGTGGTTTTAAACCAATTTCCTTCTAGTTTAATGTTTTCTAAATTGGCTCTTGTCTATAAATTTTAACACCTCATCTGAGACTTCTAATTTCTGCACCACTAGAAATTAAAGTTGATGGGCTTTTTGAAAAAAATTACTAATAATCTCCTTGTTCTTCTATTTTATCCAATATTTGACTGTAAACTTCTCTCTTGTACCTTTTTCTATCTTGAATGTCTGTATCTAATAGTTGTCTTAGCTTTTTGTATTTTCTATCTGAAACACCTTACTTGACATTTTCAACCATTTTTTTATCTTATTTCTATCTTCTAGCTTTGTTTTTTTTTCCCCCTAAGGTTTGTACATTCACCCTTAGTTGCTTTTTTTCCTCCTAGTTTTCTTTTGTTTCCTATTTTGTGGGTTTAAAATTTTTGTCTTCCTACATCTTTTCTATCTTTCTACATCTTCTTTATCTTTTTTCTTTTTAATTTTCTATACTTCTGTCTTTAAAGTTTTTCACTTCAAATTTTTAATCTTCTTTATCTAAATATCTTTTATCCTATTATCTTCCCATTTTTTAAGTAATGCCTTTACGATTAACTAGGCTTCGAATGATGCAATCTTTTCTCCATCGTGAAGGCATTTTAACCACCTTCAATTTAACCTTTTAAAGCCTTTTGCAACTTACTTAGACATTTTATAACTTTTTACTTTACCACACAAAGATTATCTCATCTAGAAACATTTCGTACTATAATACTATGATTGAAACCCAACTGAAACTTCTTATACTC